ATCTGTGCCCAGCAGCCCACAATGGAGCATTCTCATCAGGTTCCACGGGAACCAACAGCAGAGTGGCCCCGGAGACTGTCTAGGTGCTGCAGCCTCCCCTGTGACCCCATCTGAAAGGCAAGTGTAGACTGTTTCCGTCCCTCCTTCAGGGAGTGCTCATGGTTCTGGGGCACATGGGGTCCCGCTCACTGGGCCCAACTCCTCCTTCTGGACCCCGTTTCTGGGAATAGCCAATGTCCCTACAGCATGGAGCTTTCTGCTGGTCAGTAGCTTCCAGAGCATCCCTCAGCTTGGCAACTGGGAGCTGCAAAGTCTCTAACATGATTCCCCAGGTCACATGTCACATGAAAGGCAGCAGGAGTGATGTGCTAGTCACTCTGAATGGCTTTGAAGAAATAAGCCAGCCCTACAAATAGCTACTGGCCCAGGCTGAGCTGTGGTTTAGATGAAATAATAATAAAAAACAGGGCCAAGGATTTAGCTCAGTGGTTCTGCCACCTGCCTTGCAAGTGCAAAGTCCTGAGTTCAATCCCTGGTACAAAAATAATAATAATAATAATAATAATAATAATAGAAGACATACTGTGCTTTAGCTGGGCATGGTGGCACACTTATAAATTCTACCCCTCTGGGAGGCTGAAGCAGGGGGATAACAAGTGTGAGCCTAGCCTGAACAATTTAAGTAAGACCCTGGTTCAACATAAAAAATAAATAAATGAAAAGGGCTGAGGATGTAGATCAGTGAGAAAGCCCTGGGTTCAATTCCTAGTACTGGGAAAAAAAGAAAGCACTGTGATTGACTTTGATATTGTGTCCCTGTGAGAAGAGGCCTGGTGGGCTTTGAACCAGTCCCTCTAGAGACCATTCTGAAGGGTGACACAAAGGATATTGTCACATGGCAGTGGGGCTTGTGGGATGAGGGCTTTGTAGCAGATTTGTCCATCTAATCACATGAACAAAAAGAATGGGGGGACCTGAACCCCAGTACTTTGCATCTTTAAGCCTGAGGCCCCAATTAGGGTCCCTCCTAATCTGGCAGTGGTAGTGAAAAGCCAGGACCCAGGTAGCGATTGCAATACCGTCCCATTCCATACCTGCTGGCCACCAAGAGGGGCCATTCCCCGAGGGTGTCTCAGGGCCCTTGGGTTCTCTTGTCCAGGGCTCAGTGAATCTGTCTCTTGAATCTGACAAGATCCCCAGCCTGGAGCAGTGAGAGGTAACCAAGCTGGTGGGGAACTAGGAGCCCCTATCTATTCTTCCTGATGGCAGCTCTCCCGTCCACCCAGACAGCTGGCTCAGTGCAGGGGTCCCCTTTGTTTCCGGTTTGTTTTTATTTGTTTGCAGTACTGGTGATAGATCCCAGGGGTTTCACAGTAAGCTACATCCCTTGCCCTTTTTATTTCCTAGTTTGAAACAGCCTCTTGCTAAATCGACTAAGTTGCCCGGGCTGGGATGAGATTTACACTCCTCCTGCCTCAGCCTCCCTGAGTGCTGGGATTACAGGGATGCACCATCGTGCTCAGCTCCTCTTTGTTAATTGATGGCATGAGACAGACTGTAAACTGTTGACCAGACCCACACTGTGTCTATAGGAGAACAATAGGGATTCCCAGCCTCATAGGGAAAGAAAGAAATTAACCCACTGCCTTCCTACTCATAAGGAGACCCCAAGCTACACCCAGACAGTTTGCAAAATGCTTTCATACTCATTGCCTCAGTTGTGATGAGCAATCATGACAGGAGGATGTGCCCTGACTATTGCCTTGTTGTGTTCGAGGAAACTGAGGGCTGGAAAATTGAGCCTAAGGCCACGTGGCTGGTGGGTTGATGGAGTGGGACTCAGAACTTTGAACAGTGCCCAGACCCTTGGGCGATGGTCTGTCTCTCACCAGAAGACCCCAAGTTTGGAAGTCTTGGTGCTCATGCTAAAGCCAGAGAATGGGTTCCTCCCCTTCGTGTCCAGTGGGTACTGACTGAGTGCTCCCTCTTCATCAGAAAGTAGCCTCTCCCAGCCACCTAACTGCCTGGCATCCCAAAACCTGACATTGAAACAAAAGCGTGTCTAACTTTCCTTTCTTGTTTTGATAAAAATCCAAGCTGCAAAGAAAAGGTCAAAGATCATAAATGACCCCCACCCTGCCTGGATCTGGGGGGGAGGTGTCTCTGACTCAGTAAGAAAAAACAGGATTTCACAGCTCCCTCCTCCTTCTTTTTCATCCCCTTCCTTCTCTTCCTTTTTTGCAGTAGTGAGGACTGAACCCAGGGCCTTCCCACAGAACTATATCCCTAGTCCTTTTTGTTTTTTATTTAAAGACAGGGTCTCACTAAATTGCTAGCTTGCCCGGGCTGGGCCAAACTTGTGATCCTCCTGCCTCAGCTTCCCAGAGCGCTGGGATGACAGGCCTGTGCCACCCACCAAGCCTGGCTTCTTTCCTGTTTCTCTTAAAAAACAACAACAACAGCAACAACAAAAAACAGAGCAGGGGCGCAGAGCACAAACGAGCTATGAGAAGATACAATGATACCCCTTTGTCACCATCCTGGTCTTTTGACTTCCAGATATGGCAGCCCAGAGCTTGCATTGGCAAAGAAAGTGGGGTAATTGATCTGCCTTACGACATCCTTCAGAATGTGCCCCTCCCTGCTTTAATTTCAGCCTCAGGTGTGGAGAGACAGCCTGCTCTGTGAAAAACAAGAAAACATCCTTCCGTTAACCTGGGAATCAATGGCTCTGGCCTTTCTGGCTCCTACAAGGCTGTCTGGGAGTTGTTTCAGATGGATCTTTCCCAGCTTCCTCCTGTAGGAAAAAGTGGGTTGGGATGTTTTTCTGTAATGCTTTGTCTGGAGTGACCTTGAGAAGCCATAGTGTGGCCTAGAAAAAGATTCAGAGTCAAGTGCATGGACAGGGAAAGATGACTGTGGGGTGGGACAGGGCACAGGTGGTTGTGCCTCTGCCATTCAGTGCCCCTATATGGGAGAAAGAGCCCCTCCTGACTCCCAAGGTGACTCTGCGTGGCCTCAAGAGAAGCAGGCACAGTGATGTGCATTGAATGTTTACCACAGGGACAGCTTGGGCCAGAGATGGAGCTCAGAGTACAGATACCCCTGCCAAGAAATCTTTGATTCTTATACAAAAAGTCAGAGTGGGTCCCACCCTTCTTTCTTGCCTGGTTGGTGCCATGTGTGGTACCCATGAATGGAAAGGGGGCTTCAGAGTAAGTAGTAAGGGCTGGAGGAACTTGGCAGAGTATTTAGCCCATGGGTACCATTCCAAGGTCATATCGTGATGGCAAAGAGGCCACACCTGACTCCACTGGCTGAGTGACCTCTGGTTTCACTGTGGGTGTCTGGCTCAGTCTCCTGCTCCTTAATAAGAGCCAACAACTGTCCTCCCAGTATCCTGCAAGTCCCATCAGTCCCCTTCACAAGTCCAGAGGAAGCCTTGGGAGGGTGCTCGTTGCTTTGGACTACAGTGACATCTGAGAACCCACTGGTACCCACATTCCACGGGGACAAGCCTCTGTTTCAGGATAGCCAGGAAGTGAACAGGAGTGAACGAATTTATAATATTCAGAGAAAATACATAAATAAAAAGAGCTTGTTGGCGCTGGCTGGTTCACAGTCAGTCACACACATTTCTGGGTCCTTCCTGAGCAGGCAATGACATCTGGTAACCCCATTGTCTGCTATCTGCAGGGAAGAAAGTGTTAGACACGAGGGGCAGATGGAGTTTGCCTATCGTGTCTGTTTTCTTCCTTTCTGCCTTTTCAACTCTTCTTGGGAATGCAGCAAAATAGCAGCTGTTCATCATTTCATGAATAAAGAACTATGTAAATTTCAACTATGAAAATGTGTTGCATTTCTTGTGGGCAAAGTGTGGTATACGCTCCCGCTCCATCTCTATTTCCATCTTGTGCACAGCCCGGAGCTGCTGCTCGATGCTGAGCGACTGCTCCCTCTCCCTGTGGCCAGAGCCTGAGGTATAGAGGCCCAAGTTCCAATTCAAGCTCTGTCGCCTCCGAGTAGGATGCCCTTCTCTCTGTGTTTCTTTTACCAGTCTGCAAGATGGGTATAATGATGCTTCTTTCACAGAACATCATGTGATAGCTATGTCCTGTGTACACACTTCCAGCAGCCCTTGCTTGGGTGGGGAGGCTGAGTATGTGTACAATTTTCTTACCAGACCCTGCGTGAGGCTAAACTCCCTAGCAAAGGAGTCCAGCTGTGTTTGTGCAGCCACCAGCACCTTGACTGGCTCTAAACAGGCACCTGCCATTTGGAGCTCCTCCCACCCCATGTCCTCTACTCCTCGGGGCTGCTGGCAGCCTCCTGACACCATATAGCACCATAGTGCTTCGAGGGAGTCTGTAGTCTGTGGCAGTGGTCTTTCTAGATAATCTCAGAGATGACAGAACACCCCATTTTGTACCTGGGTGTCTTGGGGAGAGATACTGAATGCATCATAAGGGAATTCAGTCCCTAGCAAGGACCCATAAGTGGGCGCTGCCATGAATTCAATATCAGCTCCTTTGAAGGAGGAGTTTTCTGGGAACACCTTGGAGGGTGGAGGGCAGAGGCCTGGTGGCCATCAATCAGGGGCTGTGGGAAAGCAATCTTCAGGCTTCCCTGTGCACCTAAGTCACCTAGGGACCTTGGGAAACAGATTTGGGCTCAAGTTCTGCAGAAAGTAGAATCAGACAGAGGATCAAATGCAGGAAGCTTACTGGGGATGGATCAATACTTCAGGGTCAGTACTTTTATTTATTTATTTATTTATTTATTTATTTATTTATTTTGGTACCAGGGATTGAACTCAGATCTTTGTGTTTTCGCAGCAGGTGGCTAAACCACTGAGCTAAATCCCCGGCCCAGGATCAGTACTTTTAAAAGGGAGGAGCTTGAGTTAGGGGAAAGATTAACTTCTATGAAGTCACACAGAAAAAGGCCACACCCAGTCTCAGGGTCATCCGTGGAACTGGGGTCATCAATCAGAGGTGTCTCGCCTTGGGACATGGAAGTTGGGCCTTTAGGACCCCTACATTGACCAGCCTTTGGGATACTGACTGTCCTCAGGGTAGGGCATGACTTTGAGTGAGGTGGCTAACTTGGGGAAGAGCCATTCTTGGAAAAGAACTCAACTCTGTTGCCCACCAGCGTCCTCCCTCCCTCCTTCCTTCCTTCCTTTCTTTTTTTTCGGTACTGGGGATTGAACTCAGGACCTTGCACTTTCAAGGCAGGTGCTGGAACCACTGAGTTAAATCCCCAGCCCCCTTCCTTCTTCCTTCTTTTCTGTCTTAATTTCTTTCATTCTTCATCAATGGGGATTGAATCTAGGGTCTTACGCGTGCTAGGCAAGCAAGCGCTCTGCCACTGAGCTATATCCTCAGCCTCAGGGATATGCTTTATGTTTTGAAATACCTCCATTATTGGACATTTGTGGCACAAGAAGAAGGAAGCCAATCTTTGAGTTTTCTCCCTTTTCCAGGAGTAACTGACAATAGAGACATAAAGATCAATGGCAAGTTTTACAGTGACAAGAATAATTACAGTGAGAAGCCATCTTGCTACTGACTGGGGAATTGGCGAAGTCACTCTATTCAAGAACATGGGATTCTCACCAAAATTATGATCCATCCCTTATTGGCTATGTGCTTACGCCACTGAAAACATGGGTGTGAAATCAAAAGAGATGGACTATTCCTTTGAATATTCTTTCAGCAGTCAGGACGGGAAACTGACTTTAGGAATTGATGCAACTTTAAAGAAAATAATACATGATGTTCTGTCCTACCAATGAAAGCAAATTGGATCATCAAGTTAGCTGAGTCACCTGATAAGCCACAGTTTAATGCCACCTTCCAATACCCAGAGTTCCTATCTCTGAATCAAATTAAGTAGAAAAACAAGTAAAAAAAACCTCCTTAAATAATTACAGAGGTGGGCAGAGTTTTTTTGTGATCAAAATGGTTGATAAGGCTTGTATAAGAAGTGAAAAACATCTCATATAAAAATTTAATCTGAATGTTTTTGTTGTTAAAAATCTCATGTGAATCATGAATTATGAAAAACACGATGGGGAAAGCTGCGAACAAGTTGATTCAAGTATCTGAGGCATCTGATGATCTCATGTCCCGGTCCAGCTTGGCTTCTGGGACTGTTAGGATTTTATCAGGTTCACAGCTCGTTGATGGCCTAATGCTGGCTCCAGGCCTCACCCAGCTCTTTACACCGGCGCCAGATGTTTGGGAAGCATTCAGGAAATTGTGGAAAACCAGAGGTAGGCTGATCACCCATGACCACAATGGCTGACATGCTCTTCCATTCTGTTTTATTTTTCCTGGTACTAGGGATTGAACCCAGGGCCTTCACACTGAGGTACATTCTCAGCCCCTTTTTATTTTTTATTTGGAGACAGGGTCTCACTGAGTTGCTAAATTGCCCTAGGTAGGGCTTGAACTTGTGATTCTCCTGCCTCAGCCTCACAGAGTACTGGAAGTACAAGTGTGTACCCATTCTGTTTGTTTGTTTGTTTGTTTGTTTGTTTGTTTGTTTGTTTTTCCAATACCAGGGATCTAACTCAGGACCCTGTGCTTGCAACCCATTCTTAAATACAAAGAAAGAGAGGCCTTGAACATAAGCAGCTCAGAAAGACTAACTTTGACCTCACATCCCTACAGATTTGACTCTGCTGAGAAATGAACCTGGCTCCTTTCTTCCTTCTTCAATTCATTAAACATTTATTAAGACACCTGGTATATGCTAGGACTGGTGATGGGAGTGCAAAGAGAATAAGGAAACATAGACTAACTGAGCTACGGTAAGGCCCCAGATCCTCTAACCTCTATTACAGATGAAGGCGAGGTTGGATTCTAGGATGGAATCTTTGCAACAGATTGCAGGAACTAGGGAAGGGAAAGCAGATGGTCTGGATTACTGTCCCCAATCTTCCTCTTTTTCTGACGCACATCCAAAGGCTAGACCCTCAATATCCACTTCCATTATGTCACCACCATCCAAGACCTAGAAGCCACCAAAGGCAGGAATGAGGCCATGCAGACTTGATTTCTGTATCACTTTCTAATTTCCTTTCTCTACCCCACCCAAAAGCACTCAAGCCAGGGGTACTGAGCCTAGGAGCTCATAACTACCCTAACCTGTGGGGACCACCTTTCCCACAGGTGAACCCCAGATAAGTCCCAGCCTCCAAAAATGGAGCATCCGAGTAACTACATCTGGTACTCAGACACTTTGCGTGCATTACCTAATTCATTTCCCACGTCAGGTTTTAAGCTAGTCCTTCCTCCAAATCCTAAAGTCACACAGCACACTGTACCTAGCATAGATCCACTCCTCTCAATGAGCATGCAGTAATGAGGGAGCCCAGTGAGAATTACCAAAGTATCAAGTATCAACTTTTATCTACTAGCACTGGTAAAGCTGCAGATTAACCCAGATCTGTAGAGTTGATCTCAGATCTTGGAACTCATAAATGTTAAAGCCCATCAGTGCTGAGGAAATATAGAATATGGCCACTTTACAAATGAGCAAACTGACTCCCAGGAAGTGTATTAGATACTGGCAGAGCCAGGACCCAAACCCCATCCTGTTCTGCTCTGAACCACGGGCTGCTTTCACTTTCCTGCCCCTATCTTTTTTGAGATGGCCATACCTAAGAAATCTCAATGTCCAAGATTTAAGGAGCATGGAATCCCTGGAGCTCAGAGTTGCTACCTACCCCCACCCTATTCTAAGAGGGACAGTTAAAGTTACACTTTGAAGCCAGGCATGATGGTAGACACCTGTAATCCCCACATTCTGGGAGGCTGAGGCAGAAGGATCACAAGTTCAAATTCAGCCTGGAAAACTTAATGACTTAGCCAAACCCTATCTCAAAATTTTTTAAAAAGCTAGGGATTGGGATGTACCTTAGAATAAACACCCTGGATCACTCCCAGTACCCCCCCCCACACACACACACAAATTACACTTTGAGCAAGTTCCTTCCATGAACTGGGGCTCTCATACACCTTGTCCTCAGATCCATGTTTCAAAGCTACATGTTATTACTGACTGTCATGGAGAAGCCCAAGATCATCAGCTGATTTCCAGGCTGTCTGCTCCCTGTCACAGTCCCCAGGTGACAGGGGAAGGCCAGGCTTTCCCAGCCTGGGCCCTTGTTAGTCCAAGCTACAGTCCCTGTTTTGCAAAAATATATTTCTCAATTATCACCCAGGCCACAAACCACAATCTCCTGATGAGCTTTCCCAGGGCACCTCAAGAGCCATTTGCAAAAGAGTGTGTCATCTTCAAGTGCCCTTCACTCCTTTCTGTGAAGCAGGAAACAGGGGTCAAACTGTTCCACCCTTGGGGCAAATTGCTTTAGTGGCTTCTCCTTAATCCTCAGCACTAAACACCCCGAGATCAGAACAGCAAAGGAGGGTTGCTGAGCCCTGCAAGGGATGAGGGACAGCTATTGAATAGGCCCAGCCATGAATGTCTTCATTCATTCCACACATTGCTATTGACAGCACCAGGCCCTGGAGGCAAGACAGGGAGAAGGAACAGGAGAGATCTGGTCCCTGCCTCTTGCTCAGGGGCTGGCTGGGAAGAGGAGCAAACCGGGAAGCGTTCCAAGCTTGGAATGATGCACACTGACAACAGGGAAAAGTAACCAGCTCCTCACTGGATTCCACTCTGCTGAGTTGCATGCATGTTTTCTTTATTTGTTTCATTCACTTATGTATAAGTTAAAGTTATATTTTTAAATCCCTGCTGTATCAGTCAGGGGACTAGCAGGAAGCAAAATCAAACAAAGATGATACAGGTAAAGTTTGGAAGGGGCTAGAAGCTGGGCTTTGGGGTCACACTTCTGTAATTCCAGCACTCTGGGAAGCTGAGACAGGAAGATGGCAAGTTTAAGTCCACTCAGGGCAACTTAGAGACTTACTGAGACCCTGACTCAAAATCAAAAATAAAAAAGTGCTGGGGATGTAGCTCAATGCAAGGCCCTGGGTTCAATCCCCACCAGTACTGGAAAAAAAAAAAAATAGGAGAGGCTAGGTACAACACATGGGTAAACTGAGGGAGCCAAATTGCAGGCCCTGAGATTAGCCACAGCAGGAAGTTGTAAGTCCTCTTAGGGCTGGAGAGATAGGGGAGGGAATGATGCTCCAGGGGCTGGTAACAGCTGGAGCCACAGGAGAGGGGTGGCCTGGTGGGAGCCTGTTAGTCAGCTGGAACACATACCTGAGATAAGGCAACTGATGAAAAGGAAAGGTTTATTTTGGCTCACAGTTTGTGGTTTCATTGCATGACTGGCTGGCCCCATCATGAGGTAAGACATCATGGTGGAAGGGGATGGTAGAGCAAAAATGCTACCCCCCATGGCCAAGTCACAAGAGAAGAGAAAGGGACCAGAGTTCCACAGTGCCCTTCACATGCACACCTCCAATAACCTAAAGGCCTCTCATTAGGCCTTGCCTCTGAAAGGGTCCAGCACCTCCCAAAAGCACCCCTCTGGGATAAAAGTCTTTAACACCTGTGGCAGCCCAGACCCAATCAATAGCAGAATCAGAGTTGTTGGAAGACACAGCTACTGTTCACACTCCAGAGGCAAAGCAGGGAGGGAGTGGGGAAACTGAGCCCCAGCCCCTCTTCCTCCCACTCTCCAGTCTCCAGCAGGGCCACCTACAAACCAAAGAGAACTCACCAGGAAGTCAGAGGGCAGGGAACCCTGAGATCAGCGTGGCCTCCCTGGGCACAGGGTGGAGTGGATATGGGGGTGGGGGGCAGACAAATGACAATAACCAGCAGCTCTGTAAAACTAAAGAAAGAAAAAATAAAGATCAGTTCCTGCCCTCAGGAAGCTTTCCATCCCGGGGCAGGGTAATACCATCCCTTCAAGTTCAATGTCACCGAGAAGGTAGAGGCTGTGAAGAAAGAAGAAAGAAGTCTTGGCACAGAAGGATAGGTTAATTAGTGCTTTTTAGGTAACCAGAGTACACAATTTACTCTCATGATGGGAGGAGGGTGGGGGTGGTAGGCGTTCATTACCATCTTGTCTATATCGATCAACCAAACCGATAATTGCCAGCTGTCCCATCCCTTTGTGCTGTGAATTCACAGACATAATGTATGCACATCTGGATCTTATCGAGAGATCACAGAGGCTGAGTAATGTTTGGACAGAGGGAAAAAATAATTGCATTAACAATATAATCTTCAGCAATCGACAGCTGGTGATTCCAGAGCTTTCAATCTTTTATTCTGTCTCAGGCTGAGCAGCTATGTCTGGTGTTTAGTTGTATTTTGTATTGATTTTCGAAATGACAAAGAAAATTGCAGAAGCTGTCAAACAAACACAAGACATTTATGAAATGAAGTTATGTTCCCCCTGCAATTTATGCGTTCTTCCTCATCTATTATGGCTATTTCATTAGCGATTAGTCAGACATTTTTGACATTAGCTTTGGAATTTGTCATTTAGAGCACTCATATCAATTTCCTTAAAACATAAGAAATAATATCTCCATAAATAAAGCAAAAGGCTAAGAATGTGGCAGATAATGCAATATAGAAAAGAAAACAGAATTTCCAAACATATACAATTATGAAAAATAGAAGAACCAAGTGGGCAATGCTTCAAATTAAGTTCCTAACTGTACATTTCATTTAAGCTTAATAAAA